AAACACAAAAGTGTACATTTTCCAATTATTTTGTATTGTTTATACTCACTTAAATACACAGTTTTACTTCAAAACTTTACATTTAAGCAGAATTATCTATTAATTCAGCAGTGAGCAGTAAATACAGTTGATTCTGAATTAATTAATTATGAAAATTAAAAAATGTAAAAAAAAATTTACTAATTTGTGATATAAATTTGACAGATTATAAATTAAGATATAACCTACCTTCTCTCTCCCTTCCTCCCTCTCTCTCTCCCTCTTTCTTTTTTCTCTCTTCCTCTCTCTCAGCGACTTTTCTCTCACTCACTCCTTCCTTCTCTCTGCCACACTCTCCCACTCCCTTTCTATCTCTCCCCCTCTCTTTCTTTTTCTCTCTATCTCCCTCTCTATCAGCGACATTCTCTCTCACTCTCTCCTTCTTTCTCTCTGCCACACTCTCCCTTTCTCTTTCTCTCTCTCCCACTCTCTCTCAGCCACCTTTCTTTCTGCCACACTCTCCCTCTCCCTTTCTCTCACTCTCTCTCTCTCTCTCTCTCTCTCTCTCTCCCACTTTCTCTGTCAATCTCTTTCCTTCGTTCTCTATGCCACTCTGTCTTTCTTTCTCCCACACTGTCTTCTCCCTCCCTCCCTTTCATTCACTCTCTTTCCCTCTCTCTCCATCTCTCTCTCTCGTTCTATATCTCTCTCTCTCTGTCTCTCTCTCTCTCTCTCTCTCTCTCCCTCTCCCACTCTTTCTGTCACTTTCTCTGTCAATCTCTCTCCTTCGTTCTCTATACCACTCTGTCTTTCTTTCTCACACTCTCTCTTCTCCCTCTCTCTCTCTCTGCCACATTTTTTTCTCTACCTCTCATTTTCTCTTTTACCCCTATGTATCTATCTATTAATTCAGCAGTGAGCAGTAAATACAGTTGATTCTGAATTAATTAATTATGAAAATTAAAAAATGTAAAAAAAATATTTACTAATTTGTGATATAAATTTTACAGATTATAAATTAAGATATAACCTACCTTCTCTCTCCCTCCCTCTCTTTCTCTCTCTCTCTCTCGCTTTCTTTCTTTCTCTCTCTCCCTTTTTCTTTTTCTATCTCTCTCCCTCTCTCCTTCTTTCTCTCTGCCACACACTCTCTCTCCCTTTCTCTCTCTCTCTCTCTCTCTCTCTTTTTCCCACTCTTTCTGCCACTTTTTCTGTCAATCTCCTTCCTCCATTCTCTCTGCCACTCTCTCTCTCTCTCTCTCTCTCTCTCTCTCTCTCTCTCTCTCTCTCTCTCTCTCTCTCTCTCTTTCTTTCACACACACTCTCAAAATAAAATGATGCCTCATATATCAATCTTTTTTGTTAGAAGTGTTTGATATCTTGTCTTGCTCTCCTGTGTTTGTACATATTTTGTAAATAATTCTCAAAGTAAGGAGAAATTAACTTTTTAATTTTTATTTATTTTTTGTCAAATTAATCTTATATACGTGGTTTTATTTATTAATGATTTATGAAAAAAAATTGTTTTGTTAGGATTGAGTAGTCATTGAAATCTACCATTGTATTTCAGATTTTGGGTGATGTATCCAGTATAAATAAAATGGAAATCAATCAATCTCTCCCTCTTACTCTTTCTTTCTCTTTACCACTCTCTAGCTATCTGTCTATCTCTATCTATTTATCTATCTGCCTCTATTTATTTATTTATCTATATTTACCTCTCTCTCTCTCTCTCACATTCTCTCTATCTCTCTCTTTCTACCTCCCTCCCTCCTTCCCTTACATACTGTATTTATCTATCTACATCTCCTTTCTGTTTTTCTGCCTGCTTGTGTCTATATCTATTTCTTTCTCTGTGTATTTATCTGAAATATTAATAATTTTTCACTCAGCTGTTAAGAATGGAACCAGGCTCTTTTACTTCAAATAACTCTTATGTACAAGGAACATTGTCTTAAACAAATAAGTGATCGGACTCTAAGCAAACAGAATCGTTTGTTTTGGAGGTGGGAACAATGTGAACACAATCCTACGGCACAGGCAATAAGTACAACATTAAAAAAAAAAAAATATTTGTAAAGTGGATAATTTGATTTTTGTATTTTGTGTTCTGTATTGCATACATATGAAAGCTTAAGTTGAAATTTTGATGTTTTATTTTATAGTAGACAATAATATTTAATAAACAAAATTTAATTATTTCCTCAATTTTTTTCAGGGTGTCCAAACTATATATTTAACGCTTATGGTGTTTGCACATTTTTTGAATATATTCAGATTTGGGCAAAAATCAGCCAGCAAGCTCTACTCGGTGGCGGATTATTTATTTACATCTGTAGCCACACCGATGGCATTTGTAAGTATCTCATTCAATACAACTGTTTGAACTGTTTTTGTAAATTTTTACCATTATCTGGCCCCTTTTTTTAGTGAATACCTACAATATCAATTACTCTGATAAGCTCAGGGTTATCACGTATAAAAGTGACACGGATTGTAGATAAAATACTAATTTTTACAAATCTGTTGTTTTCTGTTTGTTTTTATATCGGAGACTTTTGTTTTAATTTAAAAATTCAAATTTCAAACTTTATATTACTTTTTCCTTGATCTTCCATTCTTAGTTTTTACATAACATAAATATATATATTTTTTTATATGGATTCTCATTTTGAATTTATTTTTTCCAGCTAGTAAGTATAGTATTTTGGGTTCTTTTCACCATTGACCGAGAGCTTGTGTTTCCTAAAGTTTTGGATATGGTAATACCAGTTTGGGTGAACCACTCTATCCATACTTTTAACTCGCTTATTGCGATAGTGGACATGGCCTTAGTCAATCACAAATTCTCGAGCTGGACTAGCTCTTTGAAAGGAACGTTTACTTATTTAGCACTCTACGCCGTATGGTATGCTTTTTATTTCTTAATAATATTTTTTTTGAAACAAAAGTCCTATTTATTTTCAATTGTATTTCTTTAGTTTGTACGGGACTTATTTTCAAACTGGGATTTGGCTCTATCCCGTCCTTAAGGAAATGGACTGGCCAATGAGATTCGCCTTTTCTTTAAGCAATCTTTTCATTGCAGTCTTTATGTTTGCACTTACAAAAGGCGTACATAAAGTATTCTGGGGTAAGTTTAATCTAATAAAACTTTTAAAAAAAAGTTTTCTGTTATGATAATAATTTTTGCAATATTTATTGTAGGAAGTGTAGCTCCAGAGAAAACCAAACGGAGTGGAAAACAGAAGAAAAAGTAGATACGAGTTTGAGTAAATTTTTTAACTTTTTTTAAATTATTTTTTTATTTGTTTAAATTTAAACAATTGTTGGTTGAATATCGAGTTTTTAAATTGTGCTATTTGTTTCTATTTTCATTTTCTACGGTAATGTTTACTAGAAAACTATTTTGCATAATACCTTCATCTTCTTGTAATTTATCAACTTGCTATGAGGAATATTAATCTTTGTGATAATACAAAATTGTTGAAGTCTTGAAATAAAACAGGAAAATAAGGATGTGAACTTTATTCCATGTAGCCAGATTTTTCATCACAGATCAATGTTAAACAACTGTACACTTTTCATTACGAGAGGACAGTTTGTTTAATAATTTGAAAATCTCATTTGTGTGAATTCCATTATTCTAGAACATACACATTCATTATGTAGTAGGTGTATAAAGATTACTGTGTATAGATCAGAAATAAATCATAAACACAAGGTTGTAAGCGTAAAAAGCTATTAAATTATAATCTTTTATGAAACAGGATGTGTACAAACTCCATTATTTAGTTTTGGAGAAAAAAATCTACCTATCAAAAATGATAATGTAAAGATAAAGTTTGGCATGTCTAAGTTTTTTTTAAGCTACAATTGTCATTCATGTGTTTTTCTTGAGTCTGTTTTTATTTTCAAATGAAAACTCAAAAGTGTACATTTTCCAATTATTTTGTATTGTTTATACTCACTTAAATACACAGTTTTACTTCAAAACTTTACATTTAAGCAGAATTAGCTTTACCTAGACCAATTTAGTTCAATTTTTTTTCAAAATTATTCACTGATTTTCTGAAAAATTATTCGATTTTATTGTTCTGCTCTTACAGAATAAAATTTATTTTTTAAAAATTGAATTTTTTTTTAGTTGAAAAATATATGATGTTACTTTTATTTAATGGAGAACTAAATTAAATTATACATCTAAATAAAAATAGCTTTTTCTAGAATAATAGCCAAAGGTTTTGGGTTCGAGTTCCGCTCATGGCAATGTTTTTTCTTCTCAACCACACTTTATATAAAAATTATAAATCACTTTGAATAATTGCTATTTGGTCAGATAAGACCAACTAAATGATATTAATTTTTATATATAGTTATTAGCGCCAGTGGCTCCGTATTTTTTTAATTTGTAAATACAGATGATTGNGTGCCAGCAATAGCCCAGGCAGCTAACCGGCCGGGGGGGGGGAGAAAAAAATCTATTAAAGGCCATTGATAAAAATGAGACACATACTCAACCACTTAATTCGATTAAATGCTGAAACGTTGGAAAAGATCAGAAGATTAAACTACACAATTTTCAAATTAGAATTTTTTTTAAATTAACTTTTCATCAAGGTTTTATCATTGAAATGAACATAAATGCCACTATGTACACAATTTAATTATTAAAACAGCAGATCTATGCAATGAACTTTATCATGGATGGAACAGTACATACATACCATACACAGACACCAGTACATACAGATGCACAGACAACAGTAAAAAATTTATATTCACATTTAGCTCCTATGTTGCCTGTCAAACACTCAACAAAATAAAGCTCAACTGTATGCTGAATTTAAACTAAACATGCAGAAAAAAAAAATTTTTTGGCTGAAATATCAGGTCTAAAACAATTAAAATGCTTTTACTATTTGCATATCAAATTCGATTCTTCCCATCACTCCTATTTTCTCACGCAACCCTTTTCCCCCGACTATTTATAATGAAATAATCAACATAATCAAACTCTGGTTAATCTGCTAGCTCATAAGACAAAAAAAATCACATTCAATCTTTCATTGAGAAGATTTAGATTGATTATCAATTTCCCAAGAACCCTACAAAGTGTTAACTACCTTAAGGATGGTAAATTTTTTTCAGGCTTGGTTATAAAAATGGGTGGACTCCACAATAAATTTTTTACTGTAAGAAAGACAGGCAGGTCACCAGTGACATCGAAAAAAGAATCTCCTGTTATTTTTTGGGCAAAAACCAGGGGTGTTTAGTAAAAATGAGAAAAGACTTTTTGACTTTGGTGACATTCGGTACTATGTTAATACCTTCCTCAGGCTTCTACACCCACAAAATAACGCAGGATGCAACTAAGGCAAAGAAAGTATGTAAATGCCTAAGATCAGTGCTCTTGCCATAGTATTGGACTACATTAGATCTGCTTACATCAAATTGGACAAGGAAATTTTTAAGAATGGTCAATAAACTCCCAAGTGAGACATTATTGACATGACTAACATTTAACAAGAAACCTGTTAGTTTTAACTTGTAATAAATCAATTACTGCAACATGAGGCTTAATTTTCTCTTGAGGAATGCAGTATGAAAGACCTGAATATGGCAAAACAGTCCATAGCAGAGGTATGCAGAACAAAAATTACAATCCTTGCTCATTAAGCAACATCAAGTATCACACTCAATACAATTCATTTTAATCCATATATGTTTAGTTGTCATAATTGACATTATACTTTTTACCTAAGGTGGTTGAGATGAAAAAACCACTATCACGAGGGGATTCGAACCCACCTTGAAAATATGAAAAAAAGAGGGAAAATTCAAAAGGTTGTAGGTTGAGATGAGGAGTTGGTGTCTGAACAGAAAGTGATTAGAGCAGCGGCATAGCATATTCAGCAGAAGGTCGTGGGTTTGAATCCCTCTTGACACTGATTTTCTCATCTCAACCAAGTTCTTAGATAAAAAGTATAATCAATTATAATAATTCATTTGTTCAGGAAGATGGTGGTAAGGTGATATCTGACAAGCCAAGACAGCAAGAATAGACGAACCAAAGGGGCGTCGGTGGCAACGGTTTAGGCATTGACACTGCGCTCATCACTGTAAGGTAAAGGTCCCGGGTTCGAACCCAGTGGCCTTGCATTCAAGCCTGATATACTTACAAATGGGCTTTTTTCAAAAACACCGGCACCCCAAGGGTTGGAAAAAAAAGCCAATCATCAGGACTTTGATACAAAGTATATAAATATGAACATCTACAAAATTGAATTCTACATCGTGGTTGGTGTTTCTATCTTATTTCAAACTGGCCTTCTCTGATATTTTAAAAATCTAAATTTGTTACAAGTTCCTCCTCGGACCGTTGACAATCCACCCTGGCTATCTGGGGTTGTGGAGATTTTTTTTTTCCATGGCTGCTTCATCTCCAAAAATAAAATAGTCAGGTACCACACTGTTTTTTCCTTTCCTTTTCAGAAAACAGTGAACCCTCAGGTGAAATAAAAAAAATAAAAAAAAATAAAATAAAATATCAATGTCCTCTGTATTGTGACTAAAATGTAAAAAAAAAGAAACTGTGCACGCGCTGGTTGGTCGCAATAAAAATAAAATAAAATACTATCTTGTTAACTGTTGCTTGATTTTCTCGACAACCATGGAGGAGAGCCATTTATAGCTAAAACCTGCAATAACTCTGGCCAAAGGTAAAACAGAATCCTAGTCTATTAATTACCTTCGGGGCTCTGTCCAAACCCTGGATGATGTGTCGCATTAAGGATGTGGGGGGAGACACTCGCGTTATTTTGAACGTGATAATTAACAAAACGGGAAAAAAAAATGTTTCTTGAAAATAAGAGAAAAACTGAAAGAAAACCACTCTTGGAGGCTAATTAATAGTGGACTGATTGGAAGCAACACGGAAGCGCACAGGACAGGATTGTGGGGAGGGAACAGAGCTACGATAAATTCTAGATTAGCGGCATTTCGGAAATAAAATAAACAATTATAATTTGTGATATTTGGCGCGAACAGAAACAGTCAGAAAACAAAATTGCATAAAAGTTAATGAAAGTTTAAACCTTGTCCCGGTCATTTTCCTTCTCGTTCCAGGGCATTTTTTTTAATAGAATGTAGAATTTTGGGGTATAACCATACCATTCATATGCTATTTATACGTACTTTCTTTGGATGAAATGATTATTTACTCGACGGTTGTCAGAAAATGAATTATCGCTTCTGCACCTGCAGTACCTAAACGTCGAGACCAATCTTCTTCAGAGGTATTTTGAGTTTGCACTCTCACAGAAGTATGAGTGTGTTTCTTCCTTCTTTCAAGTACGTACTTTGTGTTTTATTTTTTACCTTCTACTTTGATGTATTATTTTTGTAAATTCCTGTCCTGAAGAATGGGTCTTTGTGTCTACCAGATTCTATCGGGTCTTAAAATAAGTCTGTGATCTGTGATTTTTTATGATAGATTAAATAAAAATTTCAGATATTTGTGAACAGATTAATCAATGATATATGATGACTATATGTTACCATCTTCAATGGAATCTTGTAATTCCCTCCTTCCAGTTTTTCAGGTTTTTGAAAAATGAACACCTTAGTGTGTTTTCTGCAATGCTCAAGTGAGGTAATTTTTTTTCTTTTTAATTGTTTTGCAGACCTGAAACAAGTGCAGTGTTCCTGTATGACAGGTCGAAAAATTGCAATCAAATATATTAAGAAAATTACACAAATTCTTCATCCACATAGACAATTGACATGTTTGATAAAATAAAACTATAATTGGTAAAGAAGAAACAATAAAAAAAAAAAAGAACAATTATAATTTTATGATTTATTTTACAACTAAAATATGAAGCTTTTATTCTTTTTTTAAACAGAATATCCAGTATAATTCTGGCAATGAAATTTATACAAAAGGAAAGATGTATTCTAAAACCCTAAATTTGATTAATTAAAGACAGACAACTTTTAAGGCACTTGACACAGCAGGGGACCAGAAAAAGCATACCTTCTGGTTCCTCTTCATATGGAATTGACGTTTACAAAAGCTCAATATTAATGTTTCAAGTCATAGTCTTTGATATCAAATCAATTTATTCCTAATCTGTAATAAATGCGAGTGAACTCACAAAAATTATTAAAATTGGACTCCAATTTTGGTGCAAAAAAAAAAATTAAAACAAAAAGAAAGAAAACTATATACAATATGCTAAATACAAAGAAAGCATTGGTTATCAAATCAGTAACTGCTTTCACAAGCTTATATGATTTCATATAACTTTAAATAATGAATAGGATAAGCAATTAAGTAGGTAAAACTACTCGAGGTACTTTAGTTACAATAACTTATATGCAGTAAGTACTAAATTTCTCATGGTACGGATTTCATATTCAAGTGTATATAAAATAAAGTTATATATAATTACTTCAAAGCAGTAATCATAAAGGTGAACAAGAAACTCATAAATAATTATAACAGGTAAGTTATGGCAATAATTTACACAATAAATAGTGTTAAGGAAAAAACTTTCAAATATTTATTTTTTTATGTGGTTAGCTATAGTTGTCCACATAGCGTTTTTATTCTTCGATAGACACTCCTATTGGAATGGATGTTGTAAATGTTGGGGTTTCGAGTTCTTCATGCTTTTTCAGTTTCATTCCCTAAAAACGATGAAAAATTGAATAAAAATGAATAATCCAGGCTTCTATGATTATAGGGATAAATTAATACCTGTTGGTGTTTGTAGTGGTTTATTATATCTTGATCAGCGGGGCAGCTCTCAGTAAACGCATCCAGCTGATACATATTCAGCATATAACGCCATAAGTGGTTCAATTCAATTGGAATTTCAAAATCCATGAAATATTTTCCTAGAAGGACAAGTCAATTTTATACATTTCTCTAAGATACACAACACCAGATAAAAATTAATAAGATGAAAAAAGTTTAAAAAATATAAATAAAGATGTTTTTAGATGGCTCATTGTCATAACAGAATGCCACTTAAATGATTCAATAATATTTTATCTTTTTTTTTTTTTTTTTTTTTTTTCAATTTTATCTAACCTGCCACTCTAATATGCTGTAGCCTTGGCATGAGCTCACAATCGAAACAACACATGGTGTCTCCAGTCAAAAATCTTGTCGCTTTTTTTCCAAGGTGATCGTTTATTTTGCGTAGGTGACTAAGAAGATTGTTTGTCGTGACATCGTTTTTGTTTAAAAGCATTAGTTTGAGTTTCTAAAAGGAAAATTCATAACTGATTTTTATTGAAAAAATTAATTACACTAGTTAATACTTACGCTGTATAAGTTCTCGATCAAAGAAGCTACTTCTTTATCTTGGACGAAAAGATTGTGACCTCCAGGGACGTTCTTCATGATGTGCCTTTCAATTTTCTCATTTTCGAGCACTGCTAGTCCGTTATCGATCAAAATCGGCGGAGGCGTTGCTTCAAAATTAGTTCTAAAAATGATTATTAGGAAATTATACAGGGAACTATATAAGGAAATAATGAAAATTAATAATGCTTTACCTAAAATCCGGTGGTGGTTTTTGCATATCTACCGTTGTGACTTTTAAGGAGATAGTCTTCAGTTCAGCCAAAAGGTAAAGATCCATAAAATACTCCTGGCAGAATAGGCATGCTCCTTTCCTTCTTCCATCAATCGTGGAAGCCTGAAAACGAAAATATTTTTAAAAATACTAGAATAAAATTAATTCAAAAGTTTTACACAAGAAATTTAAATTTTTTTAAAAATTGGGAAATATTTCAATGAAGTGTGTGAGAGGTTGATCATATTTCGATATTTTATCGCCCTCTATTTTGCATTTTTATGCTATATTTCACAATCTTCAATGGTTGGTTTGTGCATTACTTTGTCAACTGTTTTTCCGATCAGATTTTTAAAATGTGAAGGAGAGCCTTAGATCTTTTAATGTTTTTGATGGACTAGACTCATTTGTTCCTGGTTGTGTTATTAAACTATCAGTGTTTGTCAGTTCATTTTCTTTTCGTATCTGAATTTAACTTTATATAATGCTAAACCAATAAGAACAGGCAGATAATGATGATCAAAGAAGTTCAAGAGGGAGTTTTTAATTACGTAAAGTAATTCCTGCCATATTGGAGGACTTAATGTCCAAATACCCATTGGGTTTTGCAGGTTCCAGAAACTGCAATATTTTTTTCCAAATTAACCCAAATAACATTCCAAGAGCTATGTTGAGATTCAAACCAAGAACCGCTAGCATGGCAAATATGAGTTGAAGACAAACCACTTGGCCACCACAGTATTTTAAAGTTCTTAATATGTTATAGATTTTATACAAAAAATAAATAAATAAATAAAAAATATGGCTGACAAACTACATAGATCATTACTGGTCCTCTTTTTTTCCCTTGCCTTTCTTGTATTTCAATCCAACTAATTTATTTTCCTGTTTTTCCAGCCAAGTTATGATCAGACCGATTAGGTAACATGTTCCTTTGCATTAGTTTAAATCAGGCTGGTGACCAACTCTCCCTTTTCTTTATTCTATTGCTTGCTTGCTCTGTATCTCAGGGCTCTGTCAAATTGTGTAAAAGATAGCAAACACAAATAAACATAAAAATGGAAACAGGATAAAACATGACAGTCTGGTTAGCATTCACCCCTGAGTACTCGATATTCCTCGAGGGGAGGACAAGCCGTTTCATTTGCGCTAATAAATTATATTCACACTACCCCCATTGTTTTCGTTATTCCTTGAATTGGGGATAAGCATCTCCATTTGCGATAATAAATCACACTGACAATAACCCAGAGTACTCAATAATCCTCGAGGCAAGTGGGGGATAATTCCATTCACGCTAATAAATACATTCTTTACAATTAATAACACATATCACAAACATAAAGGTACAAATATCTAAGCAGGTAAAATTATTTGTGGGCCTGAGATATATCAAGTTGAGTATGACCTTATAACTTTACAACACGTAAGCATGAATAGAACAAACCAATGTTCAAAAATATATTTTTTGAATCAACTTATTCAATTTATTACTTGTGTAATGTAAACCCAATTCAAAGTCTTACTTTTTTCATTTTCTAGTGATATCTGCTTATTTTCAAAACCATCAGAGGTTGATTTTATTAATTAATATTATTGGGAATATATTTTAATCGAATTTAAGCTTTTATTATATAATTACTCAATTAATTATACACAATTTTTTCTAAATGAAAAATTTGTATCACAGGTGTGGTTCTAACCCATGACTTTCAGCTAAAGTTGCTGCTGCTCTATCACTTGAGCGACCATGACTTCGATCATCCATGCCACAATCTTCCCATTTCGAAAAAAATTGTGTATAATTAATTGAGTAATTATATAATTGAAAATAAGTTGATAAGTTAGTATTAAGCTTTTATTGTTCATTTCTAGTGTTAATTTATCTTTTTAACACTTAGACCACCATGTTTGAGACATACATAGATAATGATCTGTACAGCTAGTAACTTTTTTTTTGATGGTGGGATAAAAATCAAGTTTATATTTAAAGAAATATGTAATCAATACACAAATTTAATAAAAATATCATAAAATTAATCAGGAATCAATAAAGAAAAAGACAGGAAAAAGAAAAGTTGGATAAACAAGTATACAAAATTACTCAATTAATTATACACAATTTTTCAAAATGAAAAATTGTGTATAATTATTGAGTAATTATATAAGTAAACATAAACTGATCAAATTATTAAAAAGTTAGTATTATACAAAATGTTATAAAATGTCTCTCCTTGCTTTTAGGAGGGTTTTTCTTTCAGGTTCCGAAAAAAAAAAAACACTGAATAAAAATATACTAGTTGGAACATAGTTGTTACCCGATATATGGACACCTATGAGGGGACATAGGCTGACTGAAGACAAATTGAGCCTTGAAAACTCTGGTCACCAGCAGATATTTGATTCAGGATTTGTTGCCCCGAAGATTCAAGTTTTAAGCTAAAAAAAATAAAGCTGGATTGACAGTGAACGATCCAACGAACGATCCACCAATACCAACATCTTTTGGGTCAATAAACTTTCACGATTACAAAGCCCTGAACACATTTTCCAGATAATAAATAATCTATTATGCAACACACAATGATATGTTTCATAAAAAGCTGTAATAACTTAGAAGATATCCACTCGGTACATTGAGCTTTACTTCTTATATTCTCGAGGCCATGGTTATCAATTATTTTTATCAATCAAGGATCTAAGAAATTTTATAAAAGTCGAAAAAAAAGTTGAATGTTTAAAAGGTTGCTGTTTCAAAGGCAATAGAGGAGGAATGGCAAGAAGAGATTATTTTTCACGGATCCATTAAGTTATTCAACATGAGTCATGTCTAACAATATAACTGTCCTTGGATCGGAAAGCAAACAGACCTGCAGATGGGCCTGAATGTTTGAACCACTGTCATGCGCTATCACCGGGTGAATTTTATGGGCTGCGGTCTTTTCACACGTTATGAAATTCTATGTTCCGACCCGACGGACGACACTTCAATAAGGGGTTTTTCAACCGGCACGCAAAACATCGTGGTGTACTACGTTCCAAGAAACACCCCCCTCGCTACGAAATTCTATACACGAATTGTAAAAACGTGAAACAAGATCGATTTTTACAAAGGGGAAAACGCTAAAAATCTCTGGCCGTAAACAGATAATGAACAACCTCGCATACCGAAAGGCGATTGCTTTAAATTGATGAAGCATTCTTAGAAACGGCTGCGAGCAAGCGTATGCAATCTTAACTTCGATTTGAATAGCTTTCATCCATCGTGAGATCATCGCTTAGACAAATTTTCAACAAAATTGTTTGAACGTCAATCAAATTATAAAGTTTACATGTTGAAAAAAGAAAAAACCTAAGGAAATCTCTCGCCATGAAATAAAAAGGATTTCACAAAATGAAAAAACAAGATTTTGCTTGGAAAATTGATAATTAAGGATAACTGATATCAGACTCTTCTGATTGACAGCCGTGCGAGCAGAAAGAGAAAAATTGAAATCGGATAAATAAATTTATAAGAGGACAAAGACTGAAAGAAAGAAAAAAGAAAGAAAGAGAGAATGAGAGTGTGAGAAAGAAAGAGGAGAGAGAGAGAAAGAAAAGTGAGTGGCAGTGAGTGAGAGATAGAAAGGGAGAGGGTGAGAAAGATAAAGGAAGAATGAGAAAGTGACAGTGAATGGGAGAGAGAGAAAAAGAGCGCGAGAATGGGAGTATGAAAGGGAGAAAGAGAAAGAGAAAGAGAGAGAGAGAGCGGAATTGTAAGAATGAGTGATAAGATAATTAAATTTAGAGAAATAGTACATTGATAAAGAAAGAAAGAGTGATATGAAAAGATAAAGAAAAAAAGAAAGGCAGACAGAGAGAAGAGGGAGAGAGAGGAATTGTAAGAATGAGTGTTAGATAATTAAATATAGACAAATCGTGGCATTGATAAAGAAAGAGAGAGGGAAAAAGGGAAAAAGAGAAAATGAGAGAGAGAGAGGGGGAGAGAGAGAGGGGAGAGAGAGAGAGAGAGAGAGAGAGAGAGAGAGAGAGAGAAATTGTAAGAATGAGTGATAAGATAATTAAATATAGAGAAATAGTGCATTGATAAAGAAAGAAAGAGTGAGATGAAAAGATAAAGAAAGAAAGAAAGAAAGGCAGACAGAGAGGAGGGGGAGAGAAAGAGGAACTGTAAGAATGAGTGATAGATAATTAAATGTAGAGAAATCGTGGCATTGATAAAGAAAGAGAGAGGGAAAAAGAGAAAATGAGAGAGAGAGAGAGAGAAAATGAGAGAGAGAGAGAAAGAGAGAGAGAGAGAAAGAGAAAGAGAGAGAGAGAGAGATTGTGATTGTGAATGAGGGAGAGTGAGAGAGAGAACTCAACCACCGACAAAACGCACACAAATAAAAATTCAAATTCAAATTACGGTAGAAAAACACAGTCGTGAGAACTGGGTTTATAAAAGAAGCAATTCACTTGATTCAGCTTAAGAATGAAAAATTGCTTCTAAAACCTATTAAACTGTTTCATCCTAGTTGAAAACCCGCAGTTCTGCACAAAAATATGACACATGTTAGCATAAAATGATCAGTTTTTGTTATTAGCACCACTCGAAATGTGCAACGCCGTGTCAGTAGAATTTTACCCTGAAGTCATCACTATTGTTAGACGTTCTTACAAGTTCTAAATATAAATCTACAAGTATTAATTTTGTTTCTGTTTTTATTAATCCGACCTGTAAAGCAAAACGAAATATGTAAAGCTATACATAAAACAAATAAATAATAAAATTCTTATGAACTCAGATTTCATTGATATTTCGATTTCAGAAATTCATTATTCTCCTGTTACATTGTATCACGTAACTTCGAGTGACTGAACAAAATCTAAAACAAATCGATGGGAAAAAAAGGATGTTGTTTAAATTACATTTTTCAAGCTTAAACATTGTTGTTGTTTTTTTACAAAACACTAATTAAAAAAGGAATTGTTGCAAATTATAAATTGGCAAACAAATCGGTACCAAATTAAATAAAGTTTATTGTATTTGATATATATAACAAAAACCATAACCTTATTAGACTCAGGGTATAAACCAAATCAAGCGAATTGTGAAATTATACCGGGTTGAAAAGAAAACT